AATTACAATGGACCTCCAAGTAGACATCCTAATGGTCTCACCATGATTTCTAGTCATTGAGGCCCCGAGATTCCTCTCACCTTCTCTCACGAGCCGAGTCCAAGGTGAAGTGCTGTTTTGCCCAGGGCGGGAAGAGGACAGGCGAGGGTTTAGGGTTTAGGTTTAGGGTTTAGGGTTTAGGGCCTTTAACCATCCGGAGTTTAAGGGATGCGCGCCGTTGGAGGCGCCGTGGGTTTTGTTTCCTTCCCTCGTGTAGAAAAAATGATCGTCACGTGTCAGTTTCAGAGGTTATCTGTAGATTTTTCCGGTACATGTCCTTTTCCTTCAATCGCCAGCCGCATTCACTAGAGGCTTAGGAGGGTTTAGGGCTGAGGGAGCCTTAGGGTTTAGGGCATAGGATGCTTGAGGGCTTACTCTTTGGTTTTAAGCTTACTCTCTAGGGTACATGCAGGGTGTATATAGTTAGGTATACAAGGATTGCAGGGCTCAGGGCCCACAACAGGAACCCATGGTTATAATGTTAGATTAGTAAGGCAGGAGCACTGCCTAGGATGGTTTGGGGCGAAGGAGGCAGGAGCACAGCGCAGGATGGTTTGGGGCTTAGCACGGGCCCCCCCAATAGCCCAACATTTCCTCCCTCCCCTAACCCGTTCCTGGACCCCAGAAGTATGTAAAATAATGACCTTTATGGCTGTTATTATGGTGTTAGGGCGATTATTTTACATACTTTTGGGGTTTAGGTTAACCCGTCAACCCTAAGAAACCCCCGAGTCCACGGAGGAGAGCCGGGTGCACGGAGTTCTCCGCACGGGTCGGCGCCACTCCGCGAGTCTTTGCCGCCTGACGTGTAAAGGGATTTTAGGGATTAGAGCTTTAGGGTTTTTAGGGCGTAGGTTTTTTTAGGGTCTAGGGTTTGTTTAGCATTTTTTAGGGGCTATAGGATTTCAGGGATAAGGGCAAAAGTTTCGGGATTACTGTTCAGGGTTTAGAGATGAGGGTCTATGGTCCAGGGCTCAGGCTCGCAGTTTAAGGTTTGGGGATTAAGGTTACATAAGGGTCTAGGCGCTGCTGGGTTGCTGTTAAGGAACTTAAATTAAGTTACTATATTGGGGAAACCTTATGATTTACTATATATATATATACCCATTATGGTGACTTAATTTAAGTTCCTTAACAGCAACCCAGGCTAGGGGTTATATAGGGTTTAGCGACTAGGGATGAGGGTTTCGAGTTCAGGGATTTGGGTTTATGCTAGGGATGGAGGAAATTTCGCAACGCCCAATATACTTGATATGTCAGGAAATCCAGTACATTAAGGAGCGTTAGTGGTGCAGGATTTCCTCCATCCAGCGTAGGACTGTAGTGGGTTCGGCTTTTTGAAGTTAGGGTACCCCTAAGACGGGCTGAGAGTTCATTGCATGAAGGCCATACGCCAGAATATAATAGGAATATACCTACCAGGGTCCGTAGATTGTATTGTAGTCCTACTATAATAGTCTTGGGGTTCCCTGCTTGGGGGTTCCCAATAAAGTCCCTTTAGTGACGGGGTTGTCAGTTTTAGAGGGTGTATTCATAAAGACCAGTACAGGACTCCTTCAACCATAAGCCCTAAACTTTTAAATCCACGACCCTCATCCAGCTATAGGGATTCAGGGTTGGGATTTGAGGGGGTTAGCGGTTTGGGGTTTATAGTCCCCCTTAAGTAGATAGAATATGGCTTCTACTTAAGGGCGACTATAGGGTTTAGGGAGTTTCGGCTTTGGTGAGTTCTGGTCTGAGATTGGGATTTCAGGCGGCAGAGGTCGGCTGCATTGGCTTGAGGGTTTGCGCTCAGGACAGTCGTAGGCTTAAACCTTTTGCATTTGACATTTAGGTATAGGTTAGGTCAATCCCTTGTTGTAGCACCAGCTCCTTAATATGGATAATATGGAGTTGATCTTGCCTTACCATGCCTACACTAGTCCCTTGTGGTAGCCATTACTGGGTGGGGGATTGACCGAAGGTATGGCTCCTGCTATGAACTATAGTCTAGATTTCTAGTATCCCCGTTATTAACCCCTCCAATGCTCCCCTTATGTAATAATTGCTTAAGGAGCTTAAACGGGTTTAGGGTTTAGGGGTCCGAAGTTTAGAGTTAGGGTTTGGGGTTTTTTGGTTTAGGGTTTTGGGGTCTAGGGGTTTAGGGTTTTGGGGTTTGGGGTTTTGGGGTTTTGGGTTTTGGGGTTTAGGGGTTTTGACTTTGGGAGGCTGCAGCCCAAACGCAACAATGCTCTTGTAAGATATCTTTCAAAGGCTCCTAAGTGCATGTACGGGGGATACTAACCCAAATCAGCTTAGTAATTCATAGAGGAACCAAATTCTGTTACATTGATACTTTGGAGCGTAAACCCTAATCCCAAGGAACCCTACTACCAAACTCTACACCATACACCCTAAACCCCAAACGCCACACCCAAACCTTAAACCCTTCACCAGATTCTCATTTAGGAGCCTCCGAGTCTGGTAATGGTACCACGTACAGTCCCGGAAACTAACATGGAAACCCAAAAAGGGCCCTATAAAGATTACAGTCCTTCTAAGAGGGGACAATTTGGGTTTCCATGTTAGTTTGGGGGAGTGTAAGCGGACCGCCCACCCAGTAATTAAGGTTTAGGGTTTAGGGTTAGGGTTGAGCTGAAGGGCTGCTTGGGATTATACCAGGGTCCTCTTATATTCCTATTATACGCTATTACAGGGTGTGGGGTTCATTGGCTCTATAATATGTACCTGGTCACCAAAGTAAAATAATGTGTACCTGGTCACCAAAGTAATTGTGTGAGAACTATTGTTGAGCCAAAGTATATACGAAATGTACCTACATGGGTTTCTAAAGATTCGGGGCCTCGTTTTTGGAGTCCAAGAAGAAGGACGATAATGTATTGCCGTCAAAATTTGGGTGCTGCCCGTGCATGGAACCGTTTACATGAAGCCTTTACCCCTACAGTCTGGACCGTGAGGCCTAAGCCCGAGGAGATTGAAGCAATAATCCAGACGGTTAAAGTTAGGGCCAAGATGATACCTTAGGAGGAGGGTGTTAAGCGCTAAGCGAAACACTACGTGAGCCCCGCAGGCTCACCATGTGACCCCTCGCTAAACCGTCTAGGAGCCCTGTACAATAAGCCTTGGACCACCCCCGTTCAATTTCAGCAAGACTGTAAACCCTATATACCCCTATACATCCCCTTTAGAAGGGACCTAGTTACAGTCCTCTACGCAGGCTACGCTCCTGGATTTCATTTTTGTTTCGAAAGCTTAGGCGATGCGGCTGTGGGTCGGGCTGCGCCGGGCGGCTGGCGCCGAGCCCCTAGCTTCTCCAAGGCTCCGGAATCGAGGGTTTCATTAAGATGTGGGTTTCCCAAAATTAGGGGTACCCTCTTGGGGGTCCCTATAATAAGGACTATGTTTGGGTCCCCTTGTTTTGGGAAACTACCATGTAGGGTTCAGGGTTTAGAGTTTGCAGCCTCTATCGCATCCTGGAAGGTTTACAGGACATGTGTTTATATGTGGGAGCTCATGAAATTGAGTGACAACGCAGAACTTGTGCTTAGATCCACGTTTGGTTATAGGCAACCGACTTATGTCCAGCTAGGGGGACCATAAGTAGACTTATGACTGGGTTGCTGTTAGTTAAATTATGGTGAGAAAGAACCCTATCATGTATGATATACCCATCTTCTGATAATTGACTCAAATTAAGCTCCTTAACAGCAACCCAAATGAGCACAGCTACAGGGGGCTCCTAAGTCCCCAAGCAGCGACGTGCAGGGTTTCCGCTTTCGTGCTTCAAGCTCTGTTGGGAGGCTTCTCAAACTGCTGGGTCCCTTCCGGTCTGAATGGACTGATCTTATTTTGGGCGAATATATCGTGGAAAATTAAAGGAAGCTCCTAAACCCTAGACCCTAAACCCTGGGAGACTAGGTGATAACCAGGGGATGAGGGGCCAAAACAGCTGTCACAGAGTCTCTGGCTTCATGTGCTCAACGACGCAGAAGAAACCCCCTCCTCTAATGAGAGAGAGAGAGAGACATATATATATATATATGGTACCCCCCCCCAGGAACCCAGGTTTGCATGGAAATAGTGGCCAGCGCAGTAGAAACGAAACTTTTTCAGTGGTTATTCGCAGGGTCCATTCTGAGAGGTCATATT